AGCTGTCCCCTTGGTCTGCTCCAGCTCCGCTGTAGAACTTGACCAGTCATTGCCCTCTGGGGTCCTGAACTAAGGGTGGCCTTAACCCTTTGAAGAGTTCCCAATTAATTTTTGTAAATGGTCAGAAATAAAGGAGGTGAACACAGTAGCAGAGATGGTGGTGTCTGATTTGGGGGGTGGGAAGCAAGGTGCCCCCCACTGGAGAGTGAGGCCAAAGGGTCATGAAGGTTGGTTCCCGAGAGACATGTCCCCCCTAGCCCCTCACTGCCCTTATTCTGAGCAAGCCTATAAGTCTGCCCCATAGCTCCCAAGCTGTTTTCCCCTCGCCCATCTCTACCCCAGTCTAACTTTTGCTCCTAGGGGTCCCAGGAAATAGTGGCTTCATCAAAGCGGGAGGAAGAGCAGCAGTGGCTGGGCCCAGGACCACCAGCAGGTCACTCTCAGGTGGCCTGGGACACAAGTACCCTTTGTTCTGGGCCTCCCCCTCCCCCACATTCCCAGGCTTTCTGGGCTGGGATTACCCTGATCCAGGAAAAGGACCCACTGTGGGCCTCTGGAATGTGCCCTAGGGGAGAGGGGGTGGGGGTGGGGGGCTCAGAGTAGCCTGGCTGTGGCGTCTCCCGGGGCAGGGCTATACCCCAGCCTCAGCTGAAGCCCCCACCCCCACCCCAGGCCGGGGCTGTGTGCCCAGCTCAAGACTACGGAAGGTAGAGGGGCATCTCTCCCTGGGGTACCTGGGGTAGGGGGGAGCCCCTTCAATGGGGCCCAGTTTGGCTGGAGCTCACTGTTGTGCCTCCCCATATTGAGCAAAGCCTCTTAGTGGAGCTGGGGGGACAGTCTCAGCCCTAGGCCCAGGGAAGGAGGGACAGGATGGGGTGGAGACCAGGTCCTGGGCTGGTGGCATGCTGGCAGCTGTGAACCCATCAGGGTAAGCTTCCCTGGAGAGCAGGCAGGCACCCCAGGAGATGTGACCTCGTACTTCCAAACCCACCGGTGAGTGGGGCAGGGCTGCCAGGGACCCTAGAGAAGCCAGCTGTGGGACTAGGGGGTGGGGGTGGGGGTGCAGTCCTAGATACTGGCCAGGGCCCTGGGGGCAGGCAGGGGTCTGGTTCCCAAGCCTTGGGCAGTTCCTGGCATAGGGTGTAGGGGCACCTCCATGACTGTGGGATCCCAGGGCACCACTCTGCATGCCGCAAGCCTGAGAGGCTGCTAGGGGTGCCCACGGCCCCAGAAGCTGCTGGGGGGCCCCCACAGGCCCCAAAGATTTGTTTGGCCCAGGCTGGGTAATGACCATTCACCCATCCTACAGCCAGCCGTCTGAGGTGGGGTGGAGATGGGACATGTCCCCTTGGGTCACTGTGAGTAGGAACTGACTGG